GTTAACTGTTTCCCAGTACCTAGGAGCACTGATCGATCAACGTGTAAGTTTGTTTTGTTTGAGTAAAGAGTAGCACATCGATACATGTACAATAATGGTCATTTGGTGCAGGGGAAAGTACGACAGACAGACAGACAAACAACAGAGCGAAAATTATAAAGAAGTAGGGCCTCTTCTAGTGGCACCCTCCAAACACCGCTGGATCGACGTGTGTGCATGACAATTCCAAAGTGATTATTCTGAATTAAAATTATACATATTATGCTTATGCATCGTCATAATGTAAAGCGTGTAAAGAAAGAATGAACATTAACAACTATTTCACAGAGGACACTAAGATTATACATGGTGTATTTTTAAACACTTAAAGAATATGTTAACAGTTTGTAATAAACTGAAATCATCTGGTCTATTATAACAGAAAGAAAAAACAAAAGTACTACCATTACCCCGTTCATATAACACATTTCACTCGTTTTGAAAATAGATGTATGCCAATATGGGATTTTCTTATCTCTATAAACATTAATATGAGTCACAACATGGTGGAATCTGGCGCTCGACAATTTTGGGGCATTTGGAGTTATTACTTGTTGTTATTGTTGTTGTTTGTTATTGATCCAGCAACAGCTCGGCTGTCACCCTTCTGTTCAATACCATGGAAATTTAAGCGCACGTTCGTTGCTGTTGCTGTAATGTTCTATAGACTGTTTTCAATATCTGGTTTCGAAGGGAAAAGTGGTGCAACTCCGATGTCATTTAGCATTTAGGGTTGTGGTTTGAAACAGGCGATGATCCAGTCTCATATGACTAGTCACACAAAGGACCCGTTTGGGCGAGGAGGGGGTTCGGTCTTGTTTGACTAACATACAATGTATATATATTATGTTCTGTTCGTAGGCGGCAGATCGTAGGCGGACAATCGTGGTCTGATCCTTTCTCTCAAGGTGGCAGATATTGTCATTTCGTTTTGTTGTAGCCATGAGTATGAACGCTGCTCTGCCTGTCTTCCCCAAGGCCCATTGTTCATCCAATCTTTGTTGTTGCTTTTAATTATTTGTTTTGCAATGTTGGAATGTTGGACTGTTCCTGTCTAGATCCCCTCTTGGCAAGTGTGTCTGCTCTGTCTGTCATTCCAAGGTGCATTTGAGTGTCCGGGAATCCATTGCATCACCAAGTTAACGCCACATGATGTTACCAGGTGGTGGGAGCCAAACAGTATGAGATCCTGGTTTAGATGATGGTCTTTTTCTACTGATTGCAGGACTGAAAGTGAGCCAATGGAAATCACAATACTATGTGCTTTGGCAGGATGAGGGTCAAAAACTGCGCGGAGATGCTACAGTACTATTTCCATTGCCATCATTTCTGCATCATAGTTGCTGCATTTTTCTCTCCACAGGCTGCATAAATCTCAATGGAACTTCCATCTGGGTATTGCATAAATATAATTTCTCATCCGGTTTTGGTTGCGACATTGAACGCTGAGCCTTACTTCTACTGGCGTGTATCCAGTCATCTGGTGAACAGCTGTCGATTTGTTTGAGGTGATGAAAATTTTGCAAGTAAACATTAGTGTCACTGGGTCTGAAGATTGTGTACTTTTGTCTCCGAGAGATGTCGTATTGGTCGTTTTTGTTTTCTTTCAAAGAAATGTGGGTAGTGATGTTTTGGTTGACTCTTTTTGTTTCTTTTTCCTGTTTTGTGGCAGATAATTAGCTATATGATGTGATGCATGATTGATTTTCGTTAAAACCGTGTTTTTTGTTTTGTTTCGTTTGTTTTTTGTTTTGTTTTTTATGTTTCCATGCATTTACTTATTCGTGTTTCGGTGGTTAAGGCACGTTCTTTTGGTTCTTTCACGGAGCTCCTAAGCTGCTTTATTCTCATGGGTTCCAAATTTGTAAGGATTTTTACAGGCGGCAGTAGGTGTGAATCTCATGCTACACTTTATGAAACACAGGGCATTATTCTGGGCCTTGTCAAGTGGTTGAACAGCACATAGTGACTAGACTATTGCTGTAGTCCAGAGAAGAGCGAACATAACCAACCAAGGTATAGATTAGTAGAGCTCTCAGAGTTTGTCTGATTCCCATGCACAGCTTGCAAGTATTTTAAAAAGTTGAAGTCTTCTCTTAGCCTTGTTCTTTGCTCTCCACCTTGATTTTTATTGCTTGACTCCTAGGTATGTTGGTTGTTCTTCTTTGGGGAGGTTTTCCCTTCGATGAAAGAAAATACGAAATTTTAAAAGGATGTCGACATATATTTGCGACTGAATGAGGCTGGGGTCGCTTGGTTTCAGAGGTGTATGAATAGCGAGAAAAGGGCCAAAGTTTGGAGACTTACAAAGCTTGGGTGTTCTTGGAAACTGCAAATTTGCATTTTTTGTGCCTTTGATTCACATTTATCACAGTAAAAATCCACACAGAAGTAAATATTATATTCTTAATGGACATAAAAGGTGTTGAGCCAGTTTTTTTAAAATTTAATCAAATACCCAGCGCAGAACCGTTGGAAAAATGTGTTTCTTCGATTTCATCACATATATATAATATGTATTTTGACGAGTGCCTTATTTCACCACAATGCCACAAAGTTAATCTGCTGGTGGCCGAGTAACGTGCCTGGCTTTGTTGGGGTTTTTTTTTTTTTTTGTTGGGGGGGTTTTTGGGGGGGAGGGGCAAAAGAGCTTATAATTTTAGGAATTTGCTGGGCAGGCTAAAAATGATACAAAAAAGAGAGAAAACTTTTGTGCATATTGAACACAGAAATAAAATAATAGTGTGTTCTAATAAAGAATAATAAATTGAAGTATAAATCTATGGACCAGTCGGGCAACATTTCTTAGTATCATCAATAAAACAACAAAAGTGGTTCATGGTAAGTGAAGAACCCCAGGTAAAATCAAGCCAAGAGAGGTTAGAAATTAATTTCTACTTACTACAGCAACTTTGAAGCAACGGTCATATGAAGCCATGTTCACTTTTATATAATTGAGTCTAAAAGAAGAGGACCGATTTGCAGGGCAATTCGGTCATCATTGAACCGATTTAAGCAACAACAAATAAAATTCAACCAAAGAGACCATATTATTATATTTGTCAATATAAAATGATCAATCCACATTTTTGAGAAATATCAAGGTTTTAGAAATTCAACCAAAATTTTGCAAAATTTTAATGCAAAGAACTACTTTTTTAAAGAGCGTTGAACAGCTAGAGATGGGTGGGCCTGGAATGGTTTCAGAAAGAGGATGATAAAACCACGACAGCCACCACAGATGGATATCTCATCATGATGGGAAAGTTTTGGAGAAGTATTATATAGCCTAAGGAAGAGAAGGGCGTTACTGTTGAGCAGGCCTGGTTCAAGTTCCAGCATGGTTGTCCCATAAAATCAAAGTGGCCCTGCAAGGGTTGAAAACAAAGGCTTGGAGACTGTTTTATAAGCTGAAAGCTTACAAACGCATTCCCACGACTCGAACGTCCCCTTGATTATTTCCTTTGGAGTCTTTTTAAACAGAATAGGCCCAGAGTCTTCAGTAAACAACTCCCAGACAATCGAAGAGTTGAAACTCAATGTTGAGTAGAAGAGGTGGGTAAAGAAATGACCCACAGGGTAATTATAATAGATTTCCAGCATGACGTTTTCAAGCGTCTTTGGAGAGAAAAGAAATGGTCCTTTAATTGGAGAGTCAATGTACGGTAACCGGGCACGTTGTCTTAGTCTATACGATAATCGGAAAGTCCACTCTCATTCTACACAGAAGTATCAAGTTGTGCGACTCACCATGTTATGAGCACTGTGCGGACTCCAACATTCTCTGATGTGCGCACGGTGTGAGGCAATGCTATTGATATTAATGGCTATTTCAGCATGCATTGAAGCCGGAAAAACATTTTCAAACCTGGGAGAGCTTTTTTTATGTCTTTTTTGAAGAGTTTGAGAGAGAGAGAGTTTGAGAGAGAGAGAGAGAGAGAGAGAGAGAGAGAGAGAGAGAAAGAGAGAGCTTGGAGAGAGACAGAGAGAGAGACAGAGAGAGAGAGAATATTGGGAGCTCATGTTGATGGTTCATTGTATTTGGACATTTCTGGTTAGAATTGTTTTCCATCTTTATGGCTGTGCCGTGTTGTTATTTTTCGGATCCAGACAAAAAATAATGGGAACCATTGCAGGCCACAGAATGGTCTCGTTGTGCTTACTGCTTACATTCCGCTCATAACACACAGAAAGCGGGTACACAGAAAGCGGGTAAAAAATAAAAGAAGTCAAGGTCATGAAGGGAGCGAAGCAGTAGTTAAGTTAGTGAGTTACCGTGCACAAGCTCAAGGGGCCCACGAAACTAAGTAGGCTATACCGGGTTACCGTAAACGTAGATACTGAGACTACGTGCCTGGTTACCTTGTACATACATAGACACTCCCTTAACTAAACGATTACTTCTGGTTTAAAACAATTACATTGCACTGTACATGCCGATATGATGTTTGACACACAGAGCGAGAAAGTAAATATAGATCTTTAATCTAATAATAGATTTCTAGTGGTACCAGAGTCAATTTCTACTTTACTTCCAGCAGATGATCAAGAAAGAAGGCGGCGATTTTGTAGTTTCGTTCGTTAAAGTCAAGAGTAGGGGGGTTTCAGGGGGGCAAGAAAAGACCCCTGACCTAATAAAAATATGGAGGTGGGGGGGTTCAGGGGGGCTAATTTGATGTTTTGCAGTTAGGTTGCATCCCTGCTCTTTGTGTAGCCTAATTCAAATAGTATTTGGTCTTCAAGACTTCTGGATTTCATCTCTGGATGTAAACAAATGGATCGTGGACTTTAACGAACGGACTACAAGATCACTCAGAAGGCTACCTCAAGTACCTTCTACTTCTGTTATATAATAAATAATAGGTGCATGCATAAAACTTAAACCTCTTAATTTAATTAAATCAAATTGTAGGCCTTCATCAAAAGCAGCTGGATAAAAGTTGGTTCTTGGATTGGCCTAC